GAGTTATATGCCTAAGATGTCTTGCAAAGTCTGAGTGATATTGAAGTGTGCCTTGCAGAAGGGCAAGGGGCCGAATCTGTCTGGTAAAAGCAGCTCGTCGAAAGCAGATCTTTCAATTGGTAAGGAAATACATACCAATGTACTGTAGAGACACGGACAGAAGACCAACTATGAGTTGGTTAATAAAGATCTCCGTAAAAAAGTAACTTGATAAAATCGTTTAGGAACTCACAATTCTTAGAGTGAAATAATTGTTTTAGCATCTCCACTGAGACTGAAATTTTTTTCAGAAAGGCCAACCTGAAAAAGGTTGGTTGTTTTAATTCTTTCTGTTAAATTTCTCGCTCACTTTTCTAAAATAAAATTTGTCAGTTAGTGTTTAGGTTGGTAACAGAACAACGATCAGTTGTTTGGTTATTCTAATTCTTTTTTTAGCAGCAGATTAGGCATGTTTTCTTGAATACCAGCTGAACGCAGAGGAAAAGCGAAGGAACGTAGAGGAAACCCGAAAATCTTGATATATAACCCCTTGTTTTACTCCCACTTTGCCTACTGCTACCTCGTTTTGGGTACATCAACCTTAACTAATATTGAAAAACTGTTCATACTACAAAAGAAAATACTCAGAGGTATAGGTCATGTACCTTTGGATTTTCACACTGCTGAATTATTTAAAACCTATAGGATAATTGATGTTCACAATTTGTATTAATATCGACTTTGTTCCAGTTTTAAGTGTGAAAGAATAAAGGACACATGTTTCTTAGAAAATCTTGCACTGTTGGAGAAAATTCACCAGTGTGGTCTACTCGTCACGCGGAGAAGTGGAAGATGGTTACTCAGCGAACGAACTATGGCTCTCTGATGCTTCAATTTACTCTTCCAAATTTCTTAAATACTTTTTGCAGTAGTAATGTTTCCCTTGAAAACTTGACTTTCAAAGACTTGCGTGGATATTTTTGTACATGATGCATTCTTTTCATACAACGTTATTTGTTTTGTTTTTTTCTGTTAACAATACCTTCCGTTGCTACTTGATGTGATTTTCATCTTTATTTCTCGATGCTTGCCGTTGACCGCTGTAAGGGGACCGAGGACCAGTCAAGCTGCATATAGCAGCTTTTTTTCTCGGGCTCCCCCATGAAGATTGATGGAAATAACGATATTATTATTATTATTAGAATACGTTAAGCTGGTATTCAAGAAGGCATGTCAAACCAACCGGCTCAGGTCCAGGCCGTCAAGGCTTAGGCACTTCCTATCAAATTTTGACTATGGTCCTCATCGGTTCCTACTAGAAGTTTCCTATCCCAAACTGGTCACGTCAATTTTGATATTATTATACCACCATCTTACAATTTAACCCACTTACAACTCACCTTTTTATAAGTTAAATTGTGTTTGATAAACCTAAGTTATCTCCCACATAGGCCTAAAACCACAATAGAACGTCCGTGTTTATTTTTTTTTTACCAAGGAATCCTGGGGCACTAAGAGAAATGTATTGGACGTCAGGCGACTCCTAGTTAGGCGCTATGCTTCTTCTAGAAACGCAATGCGATGGAACGTGGTTGTGAGTACATCGTTTTGTAAAAGTAGACGTAAATACTGACCGTCTTTGGTTAACCCCCATCCAGTAGCGATGCACTTTTCATCTTTAAATTGCCAGTAAGGAGTGGGAAGGCAGATGGGCATCAAAAAGTTCTCGCGGCCAGCAAAGTCAAGCGCTCTCGCCAGCTTAAGTAGAGCGTAGTCGTAGTTCTCGGTTTTAGGGTCATACGACGGATGAATTGTAATCTGAATTGACAGAAATAGAAATTGATACTAAAAGAGGAGATTCCAAGCGAGCAATAAAATGCCCGAAAACTATTGTCATTCGATAATTTGAATGTCCAGTTCCTGACCCCTTCATTTTTTATGAGAGTAAATCCTTATGAATACGTATATATTTGAGACTGGTCTGTTGTTTTGCCTACCTGCTAGCGATCATTTTGACATAGCAACGTTTCACCCGAAGGGGTGCATGTACGGAACCTGATGCAGTAAGAAAAATTGATTACAGAAACTATGTAGCACAAAGCTATAGGAAATAATATTTCTGAAGTGCACTATAAAAACCGCAGAAAAAGCAAACAGGATATTTAAAAGTAACTGGGGCGTTCTCGTAAACCTAGAGGTGCCTGTGGCTTCACCGCATCTTCCGATGCGCTGGGTGTGCAGCAAGAGGCGGGGCTGCGGTCAAAGTTTAATTAGTGATCCCGTATTTGCTGCTGATAAAATTAAAATAAATCTTTAGACATAACTTTAAGGTGCCTACGTTGAAGCTTCCACAGTTTTTCCTTATTCATAAACCCCATCAGTTCTTCTCTAAGGAAAAATGAAGTACAAGGGCAGGCTAACACTTCTTTAGGTAGAATCTCGCAGCTCTGCAGACCATTTAATCAGTCGCCTCCTGCGAGCTGCCATCTTTGTTTACTGGACTGTGGAAAAGGATTCTGAGCATGCGCAGCAGCTCTTTTTTGCGGAATATCGGACGCCGCGTATCCGTCCACAGCCACTAGGAAGCGAGCCTTCACAACCGCTTTTGGTTCAGGTGTGTAGCACTGGCTTACATGATGCAGAAATACATGTTAAAGGCGTTCCAGTTCAAGTAATCTAAATTTACATTAGACAATTATCCACGCATACATGTACATCTTCACCGATGATAGCGCCGTTTCTCTTTCTAACTGAAATATATTTTTTAAATGCACCATTTTTATAAAGGCAATAATATGAAACTATCTACCAATTTCACTAATAGGTTTGCCATGTGAAATTTTTCAACAGATAATCTTCTCGTTATCGGTTAAATTTGTAGAAACGAATAACGACTTTACAGATTTGCAACATGTTTTTGGAAAACATTTCTTGTGCGAGACGCAACTACTCTTCTTCGCGCATGATCTGCACCACTCTCTCGATACCTTTATGAAGTTATGATGAGAATGCAATTAACAGAAAGGTGGAAGCGAGCTAGACAAGAATGACGATCATAAATCTACTGGGAATGAAGAGGTCCCTCGTTCGATACAAGGATCAGGCGGATTGTTTCGGTCGCGCACCAGTCATCTAGCTGTCTTTGAAAAGTTGTGTTTTTCCTCTATCCCCCTTGTTCCCATTCTCCAGAGATTATTATTTTCTTGTATGAAGTTGACTGCATTTTCCTGGATTTTGCAAAAGCATTAGATAAGGTTTCTCACAAACTACTCCTTTTTAATTTGCGTTCACTGAGCATTGATTACCGAAACCTCAATTAAACTGCTCAAGTCAACTACATTATACTGTAGCAGAAAGGCAAAACAAGGAAAAGCGGCTTGTAATTAAGCGGTGTGTATGTACAGTCGGGGACAAAAGTCTCCAGGACACGCGAGCTGCGACTGGAACGCATTGCTCTGCCATCTGCCGGTGGGTCGCCTGGTTTCGAGATCACAGAAAAGCGCATGCGCGTCCTACTGTGCCTGCCAACCTGTGCGCTTTCCCGCTCTTCTGCGGCGCGGCGCCTAACTCGGAATCGGGCGTGTGGGACCGCCTCGGAGATAGCGCTTACTGACATGGCACCTATCAAGCAAGAAGTCACGGCATCTCAACTGAGCGATAAGCTCAACTGGTTATAAAGCAAGGTGCGCTGACACGGCGAAATGCGGCGAAATACCCTAGGCGGTATCTCGAGTTTCGGAATGTGTAGCAGAGGCTCGTCAGCCGCCAGCGCTATCTCCGTTGCGGTACCACGCGCCCGATTCCGAGTTAGGCGCTGTGCCGCAGAAGAGCGGGAAAACAGACATGTTTGCACTCAGAGTAGGACGCGCATGCGCTTTTGTGTGATCTCGAAACCAGACCACCCGCCGGCAGATGGCAGAGCGATGCGTTTCAGCCGCAGCTGGCACGTCCTGGAGACTTTTGTCCCCGACTGTATATTTTTTCTCTGCATTTTGTTATATTTTGTTCAAGTGGCCAACACCACAAGTAATGATTCAATCTGTTTGTTCGGTACTTTGTTCACCACTATTTTTTACATAAATTACTTGGTTCTGAAAATCTCTTATACCTCCTACTTAGTTGGTGACGATTGCGTAATCTATCGGACAATTACACAAATACATAATGTTATTTTGCTACAATCCGGCTATACTTGAATATATCAGTGGATAATAAAACTTAGCACTTAAAATGCAAATACATAACTGTGCTACGTGTTCAATCTTTGCGTTATGCGTATCATCTCAACAACGTACCTCTCGCTTGGGTGTTTGTCTGTAATTTTTTTGGTGTTCATATAACGTCTAAACTTTTTTGGCAAGTTCAAACTTAATCTGTGGTTAACACTGCTAACGGTGTGCTAGGACACTTCAGAAGGAAACTCTTCCTTGCTCTTTCTTCACTAAAACCAAACCTCTACAAAACGCTTGTCCGCCCAAAATGTAGAGTGTGTTCATGCCATGTGAGGACCCAACCTTTCATAGCTAATCACCTCAATTGAGTCTGTCCCAAATCGCTCAGCACGCTCAATCCTAAGCGGTGCACATTTCAAGTCCTGCTTGGGATGGTATCCTATTATGTTTTTCTTGGGAGAGGGGGGGGGGGGAACGCAATTTACTTTGTTTCTTGTGGCAGCGGCTTGTAGAGTGCGGAATACCTGAACTGGTGATCCTGAGAGTATCCGTGTTTAATATTCAATAAAATGAACGTGATGACCAATGGAGTGTTAAGTAAGGTAAGTTGAATAACCATATGTATTTGGAAAGCTGTCAGTCACTGTCCCTTCTTAAAGCACAAGATGTTTTAGACCTGGTCCAATCTGACAAACACAATATGTTTACATGATGCCCTTAAACACTGCGACTGTAAGCGTAGAGATAGAAGTTCTATGAGAAGTTGCGTTCCAATTAAGAAGCGTGTCCAAGGTTGTGCAAAGGGGATTATAACTTAGCATGCAAAGTTTAGAAGATGCTTTATCTTACATTGACAACTGGAATCCATTCCTCGTATGGATCTATAACATCGAGGTTTTCTTCTCCTACCACAACGATGTAATTGGATGGAGAGTTGTAGCCACTGAAACATAATGACGAAAACATATATGAGAGATAAATTTGCACTAGGATTGTAGAGAATAAAATCTGCTAAACATGAAGGGCTAATAGAAGAAGGACGTACACCACAGAGCTCTACTTTCAACTGGTTTAATTTCAGAGAAGACATAAGTACCATGGTAACAAGACATATATATATATATATGTATATATACAGGGTTTTCATTTTTAATCCGAACAGATTTATTTTTAAAAATGCGTAAAAGATGCAGTGATACGGCTTGTGCCGGTGAGTTATACGGCCAGGGGGACATATTATAGGGGGCTAATCGTAACGATCAGTTGACTAATTAATTAAAATTCGTTAACTATCTTTTAAATAATGAAAATAGACATAAAAATAGACATGCACTGGTGCGTTTCACGCCACTTGCAAGACAAACGCAAACACATCGAACGGCTTTACCGCTCATTCACACTGGAAGCGGATCCGCGTTCGCAAAGCGGTTGCGAACGCGGTTGTATAAAGATCTAGTACAATTGCACGCGAACTGGATATCATCGAGTGCGCGTGCAATAGCACTGGATATTTATACAACCGCTTTCGCAACCGCTTTGCGAACGCGGATCCGCTTCCAGTGTGAATGAGCGGTTAGTCCAGACCACTTGGTCCTGAGAGATAAAGACGAATCGGTGGCCAAGTGCAATAAAGAAAAAAAAAAGGATCGGTGGCCGAGTGGGCTAGCGCAAACCAGCTCGGAGCACGTGGAGCGAGAGCTCGCGCTGTATAACCCAGAGATCCTGGGTTCAATCCCCACCCCTGCCCGTTTCGATCTGGGAGCACAACTTCCTCTGCGCAAGTTGCAGAACGCGCTAATTGGACTCTCGCGACGCTGACGTCAAGCCGAGCTACGTGTCAATCATCCAAGCTCTCTCGGTACTCAAATTCCAGCGAGAATGTAAAACACAAAGTCGTAGCGAGCTCCATCGAAGCGCGTGCGAGCAACACCGTGGTGCCAGCCGATTGAACGGCTGCACTGATGACGTCTCGCCCGAGTGTCCCTACATCCCTACGCCGCGTTAGAGTCAATGATGCGTAGAGTGTACCTAGGCGGCCGGTAAATACTCTAAACCTTCTCGTCGCAAGATCGTCGTTTGTGGAAGTTATTGGTGCCGACAAAGTGACGTTTCACAACTTTGCAATTGAAAACGAGTGTGTTGGTTAATAGACACAAAACTTGAAAGTATAAAAACAGCGGGGACGACGACGGGAACAGGACATATTTCATTAGGAACAACACAAAATGGTACAAGGATAAAACCGCCCCCCAAAGGTTTCAACGCTCTCAAAGAGGGAAAGTAGATTATTGTGCAAAAGAAAGGGAATTCACTGTAAATATAAAAGTTAAAAACGCTGGCGTCAATACGGGGTATCACCAATATAGTTATCTCCGATTACTTGGAATTCGACCTTTGTCATTGTCAATGATAATGAAGATGCAGAAATATTGTTGTTTACAGCCCCAAAGGGAAATGTTCTATAATATGAAAGTTTAAAAAGCTCTAGCGTCACGATGAGGTGTCAGTAATCTAGTCCTCTCTGATGTCAGGAATTCGACCTCCGTCTTTGTTAGTGATAATGAAGGTGCAGAAATGTTGTTGTTTACAGTCCCCATGGCAAATTATTCAATGATTTCTCTCCCAAACCTGTTGTTGTGCCCACCCAGTAATCTAGTATCACAGAAATAAGGAGTACAGTCATCGCACGTGCGGCTGTGAACGACAATTGGGTGATACGACTCATTTGAAGCCTTTGATGCTTCCAAGTTGTGTTCTCTGAGTCGATGGTTGACGGATCTCCCAGTCTGTCCGATGTACAGACTGCCACAGCTTAGCGGAATTCAATAAACCTTTCTTTCTTTACATTCTACAAACTTTTTGGTATGCTTTACGTTGCACCCTCTGGGAATGTCGCTCCCATTAACCTTTTTAAGATCTATCGCGTCCAAGTTCGACACGAGTGTTGTTTTCGCCTGTCGCATGCGCCTAAAACAGATGTGTAAAAAGGTTAATGGGAGCGACAATCCCAGAGGGTGCAACGTAAAGCATACTAAAAAGTTTGTAGAATGTGAAGAAAGAAAGGTTTATTCAATTCCGCTAAGCTGTGGCAGTCAGTACATCGGACAGACTGGGAGATGCGTGAACCATCGACTCAGAGAACGCAACTTGGAAGCATCAAAGGCTTCAAATAAGTCGTATCACCCAATTGTCGTTCATAGCCGCACGTGCGATGACTGTACTCCTCATTTCTTTGATACTAGAATACTGGGCGGGCACAACAACAGGTTTGGGAGAGAAATGATTCAATCATTTGCCATGGGGGCTGTAAACAACAACATTTCTGCTCCTTCATTATCACTGACAAAGACAGAGGTCGAATTCCTGACACCAGAGATGACTAGATTACTTACACCTCATCGTGACGCTAGAGTTTTTAAACTTTCATATTATAGCACATTTCCCTTTGGGCCTGTAAACAACAATATTTCTGCATCTTCATTATCATTGACAATGACAAAGGTCGAATTTCAAGTAATCGGAGATAACTATATTGGTGATACCCCGTATTGACGCCAGCGTTTATAACTTTTATATTTACAGTGACTTCCCTCTCCTTTACATAATAATTTCCTTTCCCCCTTTGAGAGCGTTGAAACCTTTGGGGGGCGGTTTTATCGTTGTGCCATTCTGTGTTGATGCTAAATGAAAGATGTCATGTTCCCGTCATCGTCCCCGCTGTTTTTATACTTTCAAGTTTTGTTTCACAACTTTGGGACGGAGTTATTTGAGGCCAAAATCTTCGCTTTGGAATCGAGGCGAAGATTGAACTTTGTGATGTTGTGGAGCCGTGCGCGGTGTACGCGGGCGGCTTTATAGAGGTCATCTTCCGCCACTGTCAACAACGCCACCGGGGTCACCCACAGGCGGTTTGTGTAGAGACGTCGGTAATGTCTGAGAGATGAGGGGAAACGGGGGATAACAAAACAAAAACAAAAAAAAAGCCGAAGAAAGGGAGTTCAAAAAAAAAAAAGACGTTTACAAATCTTTGTAATGCTAAATTAGAGCTCAACTCTTGAGGAGGAATAAGGGAAGGTACGGAGAGGAGGGTATGCCCCTCGTCGTCCCCTCTTCCTCTCCTCCCCTCCTCCTCCCATTCAGTTTCTCCGCTAAATTTAGCAGGGAAAAGGACATCACATGACAATCTAGTGGAGAAGTGAATTAGCGTTGAAGTCACGTAGCTGGGAATTGAATTGGTGTTGAGGTCAAGTGACGTCAATTTGGCGCTAAATTTAGCGGGCCAGTTACGCCGACGGCGGCGCCCACGCCGCGAAACCCGGAAACGGGCGCCGAAGAGCTGCGCTCTAAAGAAAGAATTAAGGTACGACCAACACACACACACAAACACACGCACACACACACAAACAAACAAATAGGAGTCTCAAGAAGGGCCGTGAAATTGTTCGGGACAGAGAGAGAGAGGATGTGATGGTGACATAATAGTAAGGGTGCAGGCGAGCTGGTGGATGTTAATCATGTTCAATATACCTGACACTGGAGTAGAAAAGAACATAAAAGTCAAAGAAACAGAACGGGACAGGGCGACGTCTCAAAACGAACAGGGTTCTTTTGGTGCTGGTCCATTGATGGTACTCCCGGTGGTACTTTAAACCATCTCCCAGGAGAAGCGTCCAAAGTCTGTCGCAGGCTCCTTTGATGTCCTTGATCCTTTTGCTGGCTCCGTCCCGGTAGGCCTTGGTGATATTTTTCTTGGCGTACCAAGGAACACTGGTTGACGACAGATGCTTGAAGTTTTCCAGGTCCACGAACTTTTTCCGAAGACAGATGCCGAAGAATGCCACATCCGCTTCCAGATCGGCCAAACGACGGCCCAGCTTGTCAAAAACCGTAATAGCTTGGAGGAATAACATGTTGGGTGGAGGTGCGAATGCTGAACCATAAGAAAATGCGACTAAGCCTGCCTCTGGGATGATCAGAGATATAATAGTAAGGGGTGCAGGCGAGCTGGTGTATGTTAACCATGTTGAATATACCTGAGACTGGGGTAGAAAAGAACATAAAAGTCGAAGAAACAGAGCAGGACAGGACGACGTCTCAAAACGAACAGGGTTTTTTTGGTGCTGGTCCATTGATAGTACTCCCGGTGGTTCTTGAAACCATCTCCCAGGAGAAACGTCCAAAGTCTGTCGCAGGCTCCTTTGATGTCCTGGATCCTTTTGCTGGCTCCGTCCCGGTAGGCCTTGATGATCTTTTTCTTGGCGTACCAAAGAACACTGGTTGACGACAGATGCTTGAAGTTTTCCAGGTCCACGAACTTTTTCCGAAGACAGATGCCGAAGAATGCCACATCCGCTTCCAGCTCGGCCAAACGACGGCCGAGCTTGTATAAAACCGTAATAGCTTGGAGGATTAACATGTTGGGTGGAGGTGCGAATGCTGAACCATCAGAAAAGGCGACTAAGCCTGCCTCTGGGATGATCAGAGATATAATAGCAAGGGTGCAGGCGAGCTGGTGCATGTTAATCATGTTGAATATACCTGAGACTGGGGTAGAAAAGAACATAAAAGTCGAAGAAACAGAATGGGACAGGACGACGTCTCAAAACGAACAGGGTTCTTTTGGTGAGGGTCCATTGATGGTACTCCCGGTGGTTCTTGAAACCATCTCCCAGGAGAAGCGTCCAAAGTCTGTCGCTGGCTCCTTTGATGTCCTGGATCCTTTTGCTGGCTCCGTCCCGGTAGGCCTTGATGATCTTTTTCTTGGCGTACCAAGGAACACTGGTTGACGACAGATGCTTGAAGTTTTCCAGGTCCACGAACTTTTTCCGAAGACAGATGCCGAAGAATGCCACATCCGCTTCCAACTCGGCCAAACGACGGCCCAGCTTGTCCAAAACCGTAATAGCTTGGAGGATTAACGTGTTGGGTGGAGGTGCGAATGCT